ATCTATAGAAATAGATTTCGTGGCACTATGACATCATCAGGCTGCGTCCTCCTTGGCTTCCGTCATTAAAGGCAGGAACACGTATTAATGTACTAATGTTAGGCTGATTATCATTTTAATTTGACCATCATCACTTTAGTTTTAGTTTTATTTATTTTAAAATACACAGAAAATGACAAAAAAACAAGCTAAAACTAATTTAAAGCCTCAACCTAAGAATGTAGAAATATCACAAAATTAAAAAATAAAAATACAGAATAAACATAAAAGAAAATAACGTGATTACATAAAGATTCAAAATATATCATAAAATTTACAACAATAATATCAAAATAAGAGCAGAACTTGTTGGAAAGAATCTGTTCCAGTGCAAATACTTCTCTTCACTTCTCTCTTCTTCAGTTCTCCTTGAAGAATTCACCCTCCGTTCACCATCTCCTCCAAACGCCGTGGTCCTCGCTTCGTTTCTGTCTCACTGTTTGTGAGGATCGCAGCATGAATGAGCAAAACAAGATGGCGGCCGAGGGGTTAAAGTGCACGTTCCTCATGTCTACCCCGTCTTTTTGTCGACTCTGCGCCAATGAAGGGATGAAATACTGACAAAATAGAATTAAAGATGAATAAATGAATTAATAAGGCAAAGTTTTTGATGAATATTGTTTCTCATTTGGTGCAGACACATGCAGGAATGTGTGTGTGTTGCGTCTGTTTTAATCACTTCCTCAGTATAAAACTGTGGTTATGTGTGAGGTGACGAGGATTGATAGGTTTCTAGGAATCTTAAAGTTTGTTCCCAGGTGAAGGAGAACGTAAAGTTTGATCACTGCTGTTGTTCTTCTGGTGACGGCGGTCGTGAGGAAGTGACAGAGCTGAGATCGACAGCAGTCTGTGGACGTGTCTGTCGCTCTTGATTACTGGCTGTTGCGTTGTCTGGATGGTGGTCGCATGTTTTTGTCTGCTGGTTAATGGTCATTGAATGCACCGCGGCTGGATGACAGTCAGATCTGCAGAATGAAATGACACTGAAACATGTTCAGACTTCAGCCTTGATTCCACTTTACGACGAGCACGAAGCGGACCGGTGCATCATCAGCAGAATGTCAACAGCATCGTTTGGCTTGGCTGAGACTCTCCGACCTCTGACTCGCATCCTGTGTTTCAAGAGCTTTTAATTATATAGATTCCACTGATTGCCTTTTTCAACTCTTACATAAGATGTTTGGACTGTTTTGACTCCACACCCCCATTGTACTTGATAATTAATTGTGTGCAAGAGTTTCCGTGAAAGAGAGAGTGAATCGATGCATTTGTCTGTGTGTGTGTGTGTGTGTGTGTGTGTGTGTGTGTGTGTGTGTGTGTGTGTGTGTGTGTGTGTGTGTGTGTGTGATTAGCAAAAGTTAAAACCAGCCCCAACAGCTTGGAGGCCACACACACACACACCTCAGGGATGCAGATAGCCTGCTAGCTCCTAAATGTGCTAGCTCATTAGATGTTAGCACCTATTCTCCTCATCAACACGTCTGCTGTAGACGGAGAGAGAGAGAAAGGGGGAGAGAGAGAGAGAGAGAGAGAGAGGTCTGAGATATTAGCCTGAGAAAGCGATAATGACTCAGTGAATCTCCCTTCAGATGTTCAGGCTGCCAGGAAGTGAAGAGCGGGAAACTGGAGCGCAGCTAACAGGCGACTGGTACCATTGTATTAATCAAGTCATAATCAGGAGATGCTTATTGGAATGGCTGCAGGCCCTCTTCTGCTTCTGCTCTCCTCGCGCCCTCGTAATTGCGAGGAGTAAGCTGGCGATGGCGGTTGTAGGCTCATCGTCTGGCGGTGTAATGGAGGAATGTATCCGTGGGGAAATCAAGGCCCAACCTCCATTACTGGTTGGGTTTGACAGTACAGTGCAGCCAGTGTGGGGCCACGGGAACTCAGCTCTGCACAAGTAATCCTGATAATCGTGCTAATGATGGGCAGAGAGGGAGAGCAGTGAGGAGCCGCGGCCAATCACCAAAGTCAGCTCAATATTTTGTGTGTGTGTGTGTGTGTGTGTGTATGGGAAAGAGATTTCTATGTGATATTGGGTTTAGCTGCCTGGTATTAGAGAATGGCCCACAGTCAGAGAGACAGAGAGAGAGAGAGAGAGAGATTATATTTTGATGGATTGATCAAGAAAAAAATGACAAGACATGTACAAAAACAAGAGAGAAGGGGCACGACGAGGGTCGATGGATGGATGGATGGATGGATGGATGGATGGATGGATGGATGGATGGATGGATGGATGGATAGACGTGTGCACATAGTCGCCTAGCAATTCTGACATCACTGAGAGAAAGAATAGCACATCAGAGCAAAAAGGTGAGTCGTTATTCATCTTCTTCCCCTGAGGTTTACACTTCACCTCCAGCAGCACGGATCTGAAGGATGGATGCAAACAGCTACTTGCAGATACCTTTGGTGTAGGATGGATGGATGGATGGATGGATGGATGGATGGATAGATAGATAGATAGATAGATAGATAGATAGATAGATAGATCACAGTCAATAATCCTCCACTCTTCCTGGAAGCACAAGGAACCTGAACTGCTCAATCACAGTTCTTAGAACAGGTGTGTTGAAGTGTGTTGAGGTGCAAATTGTACAGTATGTGCTGAAGTAGTGGGAATCAATGAGCAGCAGTCTGTATAGATGCAATCCTGGAATTGTCAGCACCATTTAATCTCCATGTATTCGCAGCATTCTTTCTGTTGCATATGCTTTAGAACATAAAGTTCGTCCGTCACAGCTGCAGCTAGAGCGGCGCTCAGTCGAGCTCGTACCGCCGCCAAGGCCAAACAATCCTACACACGTCTGTCAGATCCAGATCATTATCTGGATCTGCACCAAGTTGTACAAACTGAAAGATCTCACGCCATAAATATGTTGTTGTTTTTTTTTCTTTTATACACCAAGATCCAAACATTATTTCATGAGTAATTAACAAAAATGTCGCCAAATGCCCCGTCTCGCAATTTTAAGGTGTAATGAGTTTGTGTCTGGGCCACGCCCCATCCCTCCACTGAGTTTGGTGCAAGTCGGATCAGTACTTTTTGCTTGGTGGAGGTACAGTTTACTACAGAGGGAGTACTAAAGAAGTAGTGGTGGTTGTCACAAGGTAACGCTGAGAGAAATGGAGACAAGAGATTGACGGAGTTTATTCAGTTTGTGAATGTTGGTGGAGTTTCCTGGTGTCAGTTTAAAAGAACCTTTTACTGTTCGTCCCCTTGAAAAGTGACAAAAATATTGTAGTTGTGTAACAAATGGAAAAAAAAAAAAAAAGAGATAGAGAGTGAAAAGTTCCCGCACAGTTTGTACTCTCTCACCTTGGCACAGCTGGGCGATCACAGCATGGAGTGGATGTGAAATGTCAGAAAGTTCCAGCGCTGCTTGGACAAAGGCCGATGATCCGACGACAGGAAGCGAAAAAGGTTTCCAAAGTTATCCGAGCCGTCAGAGCGTAGAAGCATGCTGATCGACTGAAGGTGAAAAAACAGCATCACAGCAAAAAAACAAGAAAAGTCTGACCTTACGTGATGAGCAGCTCTGAAAAGCAAGAACTTTTGAATTGCCTACCTTCCGCCTGAGGCTGGTACTAAATCTACAGCGACGTCATGTTTTTGTTGTCGGTTCTCGCTCTAAATCCCTGTGTGTCGGTGATGTCAGTCTGCTGTACAACAGCCTCGTGTTTTTTCATGAGGATCACACAATGCTGCAGCGTCTGATTGACACCGACTCACAGAAGATTACAGTTCACTGTTATTACAGAGGCTGGCAGCGTGAGCCGCAGTTCAACAGGGGCAGACGTCCATCCAGGGTTCATGGCTCCACTGCAGGTTTCCTCATGTGACACTGAGTGTTTTTCAAATTAAAGGTTTATGTTTATGTCTTTATGTGTATTTCTAAAGGGCGAGTTTTAAATGGAAGTTTTACAGTGTGAGTTCTCTCAGCAGAATCCTGAAATGTATTCTAACAGATTTGTAAACAGGTGTTTGCATGTGTGTGTGTGTGTTGATCAGTGCGCATGCTGTTGCAGATGTTGTGTGCTGTGATCCTGCACGAGAGCAGCAGGTGTAGACGACAGAAGAACACACTGTGGCGCTTCTCATTTCTTAAAATAAAATGTAAAATAAAAAGCATTTCAGTGCTGGAGCCGGTTTGTGGTTCAGCCATGTGTTAGTGGTGCAGCAACGTTCACACTGTGGGACACAGTGCTGACACTGGAAGGAGCAGAAGGTGACGGGGTTTGAATGTTGTCAGCACCTTCACCTTGAGTCCACTCACTCTGACAGATGCTGCAGATGTTGTTAGAAAACGAAGCAAATCATCAGAGCTGTGACTTTGATCCGAGGTCACTGTGACATTTTCTCTAGCGGTGGTTGAGAGTTCAGGGTTACTGGCCCTTTATCATCACTCAAGGGCAGCCTCACACACAGAGTGGAGCTCTGCTGCGGAGGTCGGTGCAGAGGAAGTGTTATTGTGAGTCCTGTGTCCAGTGTTTTCACCTGTCTAATTATCAAACTTCAACTTTACAAAACTGCACTGAAAAGATCATTTGGTTTTTGTCTCGTCCTGCAAATGAGAAACGGAGCTTGTATTTGTATCATCACTCATGTCTCAGGCGTTTTATTTTTTAATGTGGAAGTTGTTTTCTCTTGTTTGTTGAAATGAGACATTTCCCCTGTTTCCCAGCGGCAGATTTTCAGTGTGTTTTCTTTAAAAAACACTTTGAAAATTTTCGTAAATAACACATTCTTCAGAAAATGTAGAATTTGTAGTCTGCTAACTTTTACATCTTTAAGCATTTAAAGACACAGACAGCGGGACTGACTCTCCAACGTGATTTCAGTTTCAGTTTATAGGTGATCTAGATGAACGTGTGACGGGACCAGAAAAGGTAAAGGTTAATGAAAATTCTGAGAGATGAAGAAAATTAAATTCCTTCTCTCCCTGGTTCCTCTGCAGTGCCTTTCCGCGAGGCTCCAGCCTACACCAAACGCCGCCGGGGTCCATCGTCTGGCAACAGCAGCGGAAACGGCCAGTCCCCCACCTCGTTATCAGCGCCACGGGTCCTCCTGCGCTCCAACAGCGACAACAACCTAACAGTCAGCCAGTACCAGCAGCAGCACGGTTCTCCCAGCAACTGGGGCCCCCATCTGCAGCAGCACCAACACACCCAGCCCCACCCGCACAGGGCCCCCCAGCAGGGTCACTCGCAGCCTGGCTCCTCAGCATTGCATCGCAGCCTGTCACCCCAGCTGCTCCAGCAGATGCCCAGCGGCAGCCCCAATGGCACCGTGGTGGTCCGGACCATGGGGAGGGGGGCGAGGAGCCGGTCGCCCTCCCTCAGCCGGCTGGGGGAGGAGGCTCGGCGCGCTCTACCTTCACAGCGTCAGCCCAGGTGAGTTTCTGCAACACACCGATGAGCGGAGGGTTTGTGTGAGTGAACAAGATTCAGGAGATCCAGGCTGATGAACCTGGAGGTCAGAGGTCAACTGATGACTCACAAACATTTTACTGTCAATATTTTGCAGCTCAGCTGTGATCTGGTCAGAGCTGGCTGTTTGCTGCTACAGTAAAGGAGTTATCTGTCAGTTTAGCTATTGCTACGTGGCTAACATTAGCATTAACAGCTGTTTACTCACCAGTCTAGAAGAAAAGTTGTGAGTTCAGCATCAAACTTCATTCCTTTACTCTCCAACATCTGTCTCCAGAGGTGGAAACAAACACCAATGTAAACTCTTGTCTCTATCACGTCTTCTCTTCTACTGAAGTTAGCATGCTAACCAGCTAGCCCCGTCCTGTCTCCGCACTGTAGCCTCCAGTCTGTCCTGAGGACGTAGCTGTTCAGAGGACGTTTTATAACCTCTTGTTTTGTATAAACGCAACAATGGCTGAAGCTCTTGTCAAGCGACGATCGCCGCCACCTGCTCCCGACAAGAAACCACGTTCAGCCGCAGAGAAAACATACAGATAGCTCCTTTAAAGATGGCGTCAGCGCCAGGTTGTCACCGGCAAGCCCCGAAACATCAGGTGCAGAAGTGAAATAACTTCTTTCTTCCAGACCTGTGCAAGTTTGATGAAGATAGAGATAAGCGGTTTTTAAAGGGTCAGTTCACTCAAATTACTGCTGCGACTGTCTGACACAGAAAACAGCATCTTCTGTCGCTGATGCACAGACCAGGTCAGAACTCACCTGCTGCATGTCCACATGAGTGTGCTCTCTGATTACCTGCATAACCTAGTTTCTCTGATTGTTCCGGATACTTAACTGCGCCGTGTGAATGCACCGAATGGCACTTCCTGTATAGATAAAACAAAAAAATTCAACAGCAGCACAATTCTCCAGAAACTGTGACCTCGTGCAGAGGGGTGGAGACGCTGGTTCAGGGAAGACAAAGTTTCTGTTGGATTTTAAGTCGAGTTGAAAACGAGACTGAGCAACGTGGTGCAAACAAAGTAAGAGAAACAAAACAAAAAACTTTCATTGTGCAGCAGTTGGTTAAATTCCTCTGCGCTGTAAGCTGCATTCGAGTGTCATCCATCTTGTTCCAGATTGGGGAACTCGAGGACTGTGAGAAGCGGTGGCTTGAATGGATTAGCCTCCAGCGTAGCACGCACACCAGCTCGCTCGTCTCTCTCCTGTTTTGTGCCGCCGGGGTGGAGGTGGAAAGATCAGCTGGTAGTTGGTGTTTCGATCTGTACTGTTGTGTCTCTGCCTGATAGCAGAGGACACTAAAACTCAAAACAACTAGGAAAATAAGAAAACTTTATCTATGCTGCGACTGTGCGCACCACCATCTTGGTTTAACACATGGACAGTGTGACTTAAGTCCACCTTTACTTTTAGCACCTTAACCCTCTGAGGTCGATGGATGTTTCTATTAATGCCTTTGCAATAGTACAGCACAGAAATCTGGTAAATGTCGTTAGAATCTGTAGCGTCTCCATTTTCCCTTACATATTCTTCCCCGATCATACGTGACTCACAGCTTCTAAAATCTGGTTAAAGTAGAGTGACATACGACATTTCAGGCATTTATTACCAATTTATCTACTATTTTACTCACATGTTGCTCTATTTTTATGAACCTATAGACTGTGGTGAACACATGTCAAGCACCAAAACCAATCGTAAAGGTTTGTTTATATTTGAAAAATTTCAAGATCTAGGCTTCAGTTTTTCTGAATTTGGGCCGAATGATCTCTTTGCTCTGCGACCAAAAAGGGGCGTCGTTATAGAAAGAGCTGAGCTGAACACTTGGGTCTTATGTGATACGACTTGGGTCTTATGTGATATACAAGTTCCCTTTAAAAGGTGAATTTAAGAGGAAATGCCCTCAGACCTCAGAGGGTTAATAAACTCTAAATTTGAATTTGTTCACTTTGGTTCATGATTAAATATCTACAAAACTACCTGCATTCCCTTTAGCCTTAGCTTTAGCAAATGTTAGCACTCTAACAAGCTCGACTAAGATGGGGAACATTTTATCTGTGAAACATCGACATGGTAAAACCTGTAACTATCTGCACAACCGGAGTGAAGTGAGACATGTTTGTGTTTGTAATGTGGGTGAACTCGTCCTGTGAGCAAGGCATTGTTGATGGGAGTTACGGGTTGAGATCCTCCAGTGTGTGTTTCCTCGGTGCGTCTTCATTTACAGTACATACAGTGTCCGTGCTCTCCCACCATCCTCCCTGTGAGATGATGTATGACGGGTTCTTCTTGGAAACGTACCATCAAACAGACTCCGGCTTCCTGCGGTAGCTATGGCAACTATTGCTATGGTTGCATGCAGACACAGTTTGTATGTGAGCTTCATATAGCTGCTTTAAAACAGCTGATTCCAACTTCATCTGCGTGTGTGTGTGTGTGTGTTTGTGTGTGTTTGTGTGTGTGTGCGTGTTTGTGTTTGTGTGTGTGTTTGTGTGTGTGCATGACCATGTGAGCGGTGAAGGATTAAAGTGTGATGGACGTTTATCTCAGAGCGATGTAACTGTCAATCCAGATTAAGACACATGCTCTCTGCCCCCCCCCCTTCCTCCCTCTTCCTCCCCCTCCTTCCTCCTCCCCCTCCTTCCTCCTCCCCCTCTTCCTTGGCAGATGGACACATTTGGAAGCACTCTGCTGCACCAACACTGCCCACACTCTGTAGGAGAGGAGAGATGGGAGGAGAGATTAGAGGAGAGGAGGAGGAGAAGAGAGTAGAGGAGAGGCGAGATGGGAGGAGAGGAGGATAGAGGAGAGGAGGAGAAGAGAGGAGGAGTGGAGGATAGAGGAGGAAAGGAAACAAGAGAGGAGAAGAGAGGTGAGGTGAGGTGAGGAGAGATGTGACCAAGCAGTAGAATGAAGACAGGATGAAGAGCAGAGAGAGGAGGAGGAGGAGGAGGAGGAGGAGGAGGAGGCCTGAAGAGGAGAGAATAAAGGCAGAATGAGGGGTTTAGATCGAGGGTGGAGGAGACGGAGTTCAGGGAAGACAAGTGACAGAAAAGAAGGGGGAGAGAAAGGGGGAGGACAGTTGCCTCACTATCTTGTCTTTTGACACTCTTCAGTAAAAACTGGAGGTGTGAGGAGGGAGAGAGGAGAGAGGAGCTGCTGCAGGAGGATTCACTCAAACCTGCTGCTGCTGCTGTTTCACATCTGTCTCACATCTGTTTCACATCTGTCTTCAAACCTGAATCTCTGCTGTTCCGTGGATTTAAAACAACATGGCCTCCAGCTTTGATCCCTCAGACTCTGGTGATCGATCAGTTTTTTCTGAGTAACATTTTATTCGAAGCTGCTCTAACCATTTTTATTGGTTGATTAATTGTTAATCAGTCGATCAACAGATAATTGATCAACATTTTCAATAAGAGATTGAAGTAAAAAATGTCAGCTTTTAAAACGAGAGGATTTTATGTCTTATCATTATATTGACGACATCACCTTGTACTCAACAAACCCCCCCCCCGGTTTTCTGAGTGATCCAATAAAAATATAGCAGATTTCAGGTAAAAACACTCAGAGAAACCAAATCCTGTAAAGGTTTGGATGGTGGGTCCAGGTGGGCGGGGCTTGGTGACTGCTTTGTTGTGACATCACAAAGTTCCAGAAGTCCTGACGGCTGGTTTTAAGGCTCAGTTTCTGAATACAGGCTGTGTGCATTTCTCTGTGGACTGAGGCTTTGATACTTTCACAGTATTAATATAGAAGCTAGACCTGATCTATAATCACACTACACATGGACAGAGACCTTTAGACTGGAGGAGCTTTAAAGACCTGTGCTGCTCCTGCGTACAGTAGATTATATGGAGGATATTCAGGTTAAGACTTTTCCTGAGACCTATTTGTGCGCTCGGCTCCTGAGGCTCCATGGACGGATAATTGCCCTCATTTTTTTTAAAACCCATTCATTATCAAATTCAAGTGTTGTTTAAAAATTCTTTAAACATCATTTATATTTAATAAGTGCAGCTCACGGCGACACGTCAGTGGAGGTGACCTTGCTAGAACTCAGCCAAGATCGTGTTGTCGATGCCCGTGTGAACTTTAGCTGTCAGAGCTCCTCCAGGCGTTCCCACCCTGCTGCCCTTTAAAGCCCCTCATTCCTGTACGTTCGCTCTTTCGCCCGTGCTTTCATTCGCTTTTCTTCATTTCTCTCCTACCCATAATCCCCCCCACCCCACCCCTAACCCTCACATCCAACCTCCACCCACACACATGACAACGTCTCTGTGGCGTCCCCTCCTTGCTCCCGCTTGACATGTCATTTGTTAGAATGAAACCCACGTGCACATGTGAGCCCACACTCGCTCTCTCACACACACACACACACACACACACACACACAAAGAAGCACACACTGACAGCTGTCAGTCAGCCCTGGGGCGTCATGGTAACAGCTTCCCAACGAGATGCTCATACATCATCATAAAAGCTGAAGTATGCAGCACAGCAGCGCATGTTTCTCATGTTGACCGACTGACAGTAATTTGTTTTTTAACAATAAAAAAATGAAAACACAGTCAGTTTGAGTGAGACAGTCACAAAAAATCTCTCAGATCAGAGGTCAGTATTTGACTCCACATCACACGGACAGTACCATCATCATCATCATCACTTCCTGTTCTGAAGCGTCACAAACAGCCGAAAGAAATCGAGGCTAATGTTGTAAAGAAAATGAAATTACACCACAGAGAAGATTTCCCCGGCGAGTTTGATGAGATTATAAACTTTCCCTGGATTGATTTGATTTAGTTTAGTCATAAAACAATATTTACATCACACACTTCAGATAAATCCCAGACTGAAAAACAACAGAACACAAGAAAATAACACAGATTCAATGGCGTATGGAGCCGTGACAAAATCAAATACAGTCGTAAATAAAAAAGAAACGAGACGCTGTCGTCAAACTGGAAAAAACAAAACATTCCAGCTGATGTTATACACGTCACTTTGCTTTGTAACTATATTTACATATAGATGTCAGATCTTGTTCTTGCGGCTTGTTGCCTCCAAATAACCACAAATAAAAGAAAAGAAAAGAAAAGAAAAGAATGCAGCTTTAAATGTGTCTGACTCTTATCACCTGGGTCAGATCCAGTCCCTGTGTCTGGACTCTGATTACATGTGCACTATCGTGTGCTTTGTCCTGATCCAGGTGAGACCCCCCCCCAGGTACAGACTCTGTTTTAACACCCTCCCTCCTCCTGAGTGTATGTTTGCCATGATCTCAGTTCCCTGCAGTTACAGTGTTTAACATGTAAGTGTTGACTGTACTGTATTCGACTGTATGTGCCTCTGTACTGTAATGGTGCTGCCCCCCACCCCCCCACCCCCACCCCCTTCTCTCTCTCTCCTTGTCTCGGGTGATCATCCAATAATAGCACAAATTATGCACAGCTGGTATTAATCAACACTGTCTAATTAGCACCTCAAAGCCACCTGGGTAATTGCCAAAAAAAAAAAAGCATGAGAGAAAACATGGCCGCCGGTTTCAGTGGGTACCTGCTGATGTTGTAGGCCGTGTTCAGTTTGAATGTGAAGTGTTTCTCCCACATCGTTACACCAACAAGTCCAGATTTAGATCAGTCCCACGGCAGCGATGGATGATCACACGTTTCCGTGGATGAGAAGAAGCTTTTATGAATTTGCAGCCTGGAAATTTTTCAGTTTTTCACAATAAAAGCACAGAAAACAGGAGGGCTATCTCAGCTTACAGGGACACTTCTTGAAGGGTAGCCGACGCTGCCAACGTGGAAAGTGACGACATCTCTTCTTCTGCTGATTTGATTTTGAAGATACTTTTGTTATTATTTCTGATGAGTTTGTTTCGCCTCTGTCCCGTATTGGTCCTTATGTTAACGGCTCTATCTGTAGCTCTGAAGCAGCAGATGCGTGAGGGTGACGTATCGTCCACATCAGCACAAATAGATTTGTTTTTTGGGTTCTAGTTTTAGTCACGTCTTAATAAGAACCTTAGTCCAACACAATATTGACTTTGCTGTGAGTTTTGAAGTGTCAGTATCAGGGATGGATGTTTGTGCTGTGAAGTCTAATGGTTAAATTACTGGTAATCTCCACAGGGATTCTCTCTCTGTAGGGTTAAATTTAATATTTAGTAGCTTTGTGCAATAAAAGATGTCACATATCACGATATATGATATTAACGTGGGGGCATCAGGGGTTTATAATGTAATTATATTATTGTATTTTACGCTTCAGCTGTTTTTTGTGGGGTTTTTTATAATATGCAATATTCAATATTATCTAATATCGGCCCAAGCTTCATATTCAGACACTGTCATTGGAAGTTTAGGTTTTCTTACGTGAGAGTTTCTCATAGACTGTAAATAAAGATGGACGTCACTCACAGGTTTCTGAAGCTCAGAGTGAGCTGCTCCACCGTCGCCATCTTGGCAGTGTCTGACTCCGCCCCCTAACTCCCAGCTAATGCAAATATGGTCAAAGGGTGTGTGGAGCCGAGACTCCATACGTGCATACTGGTTTGTGGCAAGCATACGCTCACCCACCTGTCACTCAAAGAGGCCACGCCCTCAATCCTCCATAACTTTAGTCCTTAATAAAATGTAAACAGGCGAGTTATAAAAACAGGTGTCATGAAGGCGGAAATCAGCACTAGAGACCAAAACAGTTTTTGTACCAGGCTGTAAACATGTTTATTTCTGCTGTAAAGTTGGACATTTTAACATGGGAGTCTATGGGGACTGACTCGGTGTTGTAGCCAGACCCTAGTGGTCATTAGAGGAACTGCAGCTCCTGGTTGACGCTTGGTGTTTCTATAGTCCAGCAGTTTTTGACTTTGCTCTCACATCTAAATTTAGACAATCAGCTTTCTCCATAAAGAGCATTCGACTCCGGATCACATGACCAACTGAAATCAACTTAAATCCCTTTACAACAAAGGTTCAGTGCTAAAATCAAACCAGAACTTCACTCAAGTCTAGGCATTTATATCTATTGCTGATTGTCTTTGTTTGATTGTTTGTAGCTTGTTGTGCTGTTGTGCTGAACATCTGTATAGTTTTAGCTAATTATAGGATATTATCACGTGTTGTTTTTGCTTTGTACTGTTGTAATGACACATGTAAAAGCTTGACTGGAGGCAGGAGCAACAGCTATAAACTCAAACTTAAATTGCATTGACCCTATTAAATACATAAACAAAGTTGGCTTAACTAAACATATTGCATTATTAACAGGAGACATTACACTCCGTCTCAAACTCTTGGATATCTGCATGTTCTAATATATTCTATTTATTACATGCACTAATATATACACATGAATTTCCCCTGGGGGATAAATAAAGTATATATCTATCCACCTGTCTCTCTATCTAACGAATAAAACAAATGAAAACGACACGAGGAGCTGAAGACGTGGTGGAAAAATAATCATAATCTGAATGAGGCCAAAGAAAGCAGCGATGCGTTCACAGAGTCAGGGAGAGCGGGATTGTGCTCTGGAGTCCTTGTATAACACAGGACGTCAAACAGCAGAGCGTTTCTTTTAAACTGCTGTGTTTGGACGCCACATGTTGTTCACGGCTCTAAGCCGGGCGCAGTGTGAAGCTGCTCGGCTGCAGTTTTGTCCGTGGCTTTTTCCCTCAGAAAATGAGCGAGCAGTCTCACTTGGTATTGAATGGGGTTAGCTCTCCAAAGGCCCGTGAAGGTTTGAGGAGGAGCGCAGTCTACAGGACAAGGTGACCCACTTACTTGAAAAAACCATTTCCTTCCCCTCTCTCTCTCTCTCCCTCTCTCTCTCTCTCTCTCAATCCCTCACTCCTGCACTTCATTCCCTTCTTCCTCTTTAATCTCCTAGATTTTCCTTCACCGTGGTTTTATCTCTCACTCTTTCACCCTTCATGTGAAAGACGCCACAAACGAGAACTATGATTTAAAAACTTATCAGTTGAAGAATTGATGATATCAGTTGATTTAAAGCTTCAATTACAGTCATTTTTCTGACCTGATCTCGAACACACCGTCGTGGCTCGACTTCAAATACAAAGATTATTTAATTTAACAGGAAGTCCATCAAGATTCACGCACGTTTATTTATATACAATCAAATTTCAACAGCTTTCTAATCAGGGTTTTAATCAGACTGAATGTAATCATTTGTATTTTACTGATCAATCAATCAAACTTTATTTGTACAGCAGTTTTCGTACAGGTTGATGCAGTTCAAAGTTCACAGACGACTGATGAGCTAAAAAGAAAAAAAGAAAGCTGAGAATGAGATACAATTAAAATAGATTTAAAAAGCTGTAATAACATTAGCAAACAAAAAAAACATAAGAAAATTAATAATAAAAACAATGAATGAATTAATAATGATAATAATAATAAAAATGATGGTCTCACCTTCGAGGACTCTCCGGCTTGTGTTTTCCCTATTCTATCAGAGTGTTGTTATGGAGGTTGACCACTAAGAGGCGCTGCATCATCACGTCAGACGCATCAGCAGCTCCACTGTTGTCCTGATGAATGAGGGAGCGTTTGTTTTGATGCAGCTTTTTAAACCATTTTACACACACACACAGAAACGCAGCGTCAGCCCGTTTATTCAGATTCATCCACCAGAGCAGCAGCTGACGGCGCTCGCTCCACTCTCGTCCTCTTGCTCATAATTTGACATTTTCATATTTTCCCTCCTCTGATGTGGCTCCAAGTCGCGGGTCGCTCCCTGTGTGGTCTGTAACGTGTCCTCCCGTCTCCTACCCAGAAGCCTTTGCGCTCTGTGGGTCAGAGCCAGCCCATATTCTGCCCCACTTACTCCTGCAAGACACGTGTCTGCTGGCCTCTGAGTATCTGCTCTGCATAATGGGTTTGTGTGTGTGCACACGCGCGTGTGTGTAAGTATATCCATATGCATGGGTTCAGTGCATGTGTGTGTGTGTGTGTGTGTGTGTGTTTGTGTGTCAGCTTCTGGTGTTAAGGCTAATATGTGGAAGCTCGTAATGTTCCTTTCTTATTGTTTGAAACTGTCAGAGCTTTTTATTCGAGCTGTTGAGCAGGTGGTTTGAAATGTCGTTGACCTTGTTTAACCTTTAATGTTTCAGTTTGGAGTTTATTATCAAGACGCCATTTTAACGAACGCAAAAGGTTCCGCATGACTCCTGCACAATTTCACGTGTAATTTTTGCGTAAAATATTTTCTTTGCCGCTTGAAATCATTTGTAAACGTGATTTTCTAAATGTGACATAACCTCTCTCTCTCTCTCTCCCTCTCTCCCTCTCTCCCTCTCTCTCTCGCTCAGTCCCAGCAGTCATGGCGAGGCAGTAGGCACCAGGAGGAAGCTGTACAGTGCCGTTCCTGGGAGACATTTTGTGGTCGTTCGCCCGTACACCGCTCAGGCCGAGGGAGAGATCAACCTGTACAAGAGCGACAGGGTCAAAGGTGAGGGTGGGAAATGACCTCAGTTCATTTGACCTCAAGTATAATTAGTGTTTTTCAAGTATCTGTAAAAATCAACAATACACACACACACACACACACACACACACATATACACACACACACATTATCGTATTAATGGAGAATTGATGCATTAATGTTGCAGCTGTGTAGCTTCATCTGAAATACTACATCATCGTTTATTTATTGATTGATTATATTTCTTAATTTTTTGTATTAACGGTCCGAATCTGCAAAACAAATTCTAATAACCAGGAACTAAAGCTGTGAAATAAAGTGCCAGTGACTCCGACCTGAGGGAGAGGAACAGAACTTCCTCCCTCTGAGGGACGAAGGACGAAAACCAAAACAAAATCTAAACGCAAACCACAGGCGATGATGCGTCGCTGCCTCCGTCTCATATTCGTGTCTGAAAACGAGACAACTGGAAATCGAACGGCGAAATTACCGTATCTGATGATTGACTGATTCTACGTCACAGATTTGACCGACAGTTAGATTCCTCGACTTTCTGCAGCTTAATGATGCTCAACGCTTTTAATGTCAAGCGATCTGTCGGGCCAGGTGTAGTCCAGGTGTAGTCCGAGTGTAGTCCAAGTGTAGTCCAGGTGTCGTCCAGGTGTAGTCCAGGTGTAGTCGAGATGTAGTCCAGGTGTAGTCCAGGTGTAGTCCAGGTGTAGTCCAGGTGTAGTCCGAGTGTAGTCCAGGTGTAGTCCAGGTGTCGTCCAGGTGTAGTCGAGATGTAGTCCAGGTGTAGTCCAGGTGTAGTCCGAGTGTAGTCCAGGTGTCATCCAGGTGTAGTCTGGGTGTAGTCCGGGTGTAGTCTGGGTGTAGTCCAGGTGTCATCCAGGTGTCATCCAGGTGTAGTCCGGGTGGTCGAGATGTAGTCCAGGTGTAGTCCAGGTGTAGTCCAGGTGTAGTCCAGGTGTAGTCCGAGTGTAGTCCAGGTGTAGTCCAGGTGTCGTCCAGGTGTAGTCGAGATGTAGTCCAGGTGTAGTCCGGGTGTAGTCCAGGTGTTTCATGTCCACAGATCAGCTGTGTGTCGGGTCACTCACTGAGTTTGAATCTGATGATCACTGTGGTGACGTTTGCAGTGAACAGGTATCACACGTGCTAATGGCAGCAAAACAACAGTCTCCATGGAAACAGTAGAATTTGACTGCTGCAAATCCCTTAAATCTTTCCTTAAATAAGGAAAAACACCCTTAAGTTACGCCCCCAGCTAAGTAAATTGGGAAACTTAAGGTGTTTTATTCAACTTCAATACCAGCAGTTGATTTTTTTAATGCTAATGATTTCACCAAAGATGACATCATATAATTAAAATATTTATAGTTGCACGATATGAACTGTGTTGTCAGTATTTTCTCTCCATAATCTCTGTATCTTAGTGTCTGGAGCCACAGAACTTTATTACTGATCCAGTTTTATCTATACGGAGCTCAGTTACTCCACAGTCCTGCTCCTGAAACTGTCCACGCGACACCGATCGGTCGCCGCAGACTCCTGCTGTGCAGCCGAACACTGTTCCACATACCTTCGTTCTGAATCTAGTGGAGATCTTAAAGTTTTCACAGACACAAAATATAAATGAATGAATTTTGAGGAAATGAGTATAAAATTATTTAGATTATTTCCATTTGAAGGATCAATGCAGGATTGAAAAGCATCTGAATATTTCACTCAGTGAGAACGTCATATAGCTTCAATGAGCTGGAGCCAGATGATACAGAATAAACAGAGAGAGAGGAGGCTCTGAGCCTCTCTTCTGATTGGCTGACGGTTTTCTGAGTGATCCAATAAAAATATAGCAGATTTCAGGTAAAAACACTCAGAGAAACCAAATCCTGCAAAGGTTTGGATGGTGGGTCCAGGTGGGCGGGGCTTGGGGACTGCTTTGTTGTGACATCACAAAGTTCCAGAAGTCCTGACGGCTGGTTTTAAGGCTCAGTTTCTGAATACAGGCTGTGTGCATTTCTCTGTGGACTGAGGCTTTGATACTTTCACAGTATTAATATAGAAGCTAGAGCTGATCTATAATCACACTACACATGGACACAGACCTTTACACTGGAGGAGCTTTAAAGCTGCTGAAGAGGAAGAAACCTGTTTGTAAATGAAGTCAAATCAGAATCAAACGAACCGTGACTGTAAAAAATTCCCTCATTATTCCTTCATGGGTGTAAAATCTGCAGATGCTGTGTTGTCAGGTTTCATCATTGTGACATTTCCGAATAGCTTTCTTTTGGTTTTAGAGGAAGATGTAAAGAGATTCGGCTCATTAACAAACCAAACTGTACGTGAAATCTCCAGATGTTTCCAAAACACCTGGGTTGGCAGCAGAACCTCAACGTCTCCACACACACTGATGTTTAAACTTTTTTTTGTGAGACTGAGCTTGTCGACATTTCCAGCAGCAGCAGCAGCAGCTGAGACCTCCTGCAGCTCACACGCTTAATCCATGACATTTTATCAAAGCCTCAAAATAAATTTGTGAGTCTGATTCTTGTTAATGATGCGACCCGTTTATCAGCTGCTGATGAAGATTGTCACATTCTTGTTTTCATGGTTCTGACGCTGTCGACACCTTTGTACTCAATATTCAGGTGTGGCATTTAAATTAAGAGCTTTTAATGATCTCTGGAGACGCTCTGTTCTCTTCTTTCTTTTTTGTTCCTCCACGCCGGCGACAGTCAGAGCGGCAGCCATGTTGTTTTCAGGTTGTCTGTCCGTCCCCATTCTCGTGGACACGACATCTCAGAAACACCTTGTCGATCTTCTTCATATTTAACACTTATATAACACTCACTCGGTTTCAAGGATGTGCTGATTAGATTTTGGTGGCTAAAGGTCAAAGGTCAAGGTCACAGGGAGTTCACGAACATGATTTTGGCCGTGTGAACGCAGTATCTCCAGAGCTCTTCCAGGGAACTCCTTCAAATTTTGCACAAATGTCCATTTGGACTGAAGAACAAACTGATTAGACTTTAGTGGTCAAAAGTCAAAGGTCAACGGTCAAGGTCACGGTGACCTCAGAAAACACTTTTCAGCCCACAGAAATTATGACAAAATTTCACACTAATGGTTCTAGATGAACAGGGATGTAACCTGGAACTAGACTGAGGGGCGGAGGGATACGACCACGAGGAGGTGATTCTTGTCATTCTGTGAAACTAATGTGGTTTTTCCTTCCTCTCTCTCTCTCTCTCTCTCTCTCTCTCTCTGGCCTTGGTCCAGTTCTGAGCATCGGAGAGGGGGGTTTCTGGGAGGGCAGCGCCCATGGCCAGGTGGGCTGGTTTCCAGCCGACTGTGTGGAGGAGATCCCGGCCAAGGCCACCGAGGAGAGGAGCTGTAAGTCTGATCACTTGGGGCTGTGTGTCGGTTGGAGGTGGGACATTGACTTATGTAGGACACGCACTGTTTGCCATCACCCCAGTTTTGAGGGGGTGGGGAGGTGGGGGGTGGGGGAGGGGTTACAAAGAGCAGTAGCTGAGGCTAAATGCTGCAGGTTCCTGAGGCGCTGTGATGGCACGTGGCCTCTTTCTCTCCAGTGCATGAGCTGCATGTGTCTCTCTCCCAGTCTCTCTCTCTCTCTCTGTCTCCCCGGGCTGTGGTGCACAAAGCTAAGCACTACATGGCCCTGCTAACTCAGCTGTGCTCTGATGTCCTCCGGGTGCAAGCTAATGAACATATCACGGCACGCTCCGTCCCCCATAAACATCAGATTTCTCCCTGTCCTCGCGTTCTCTCCCTCTCGCTCTCTCTCTCTCTCTCAGTGAGCGTCTGAGAGAGCGAGCAGGTTTTTAGAAAGGACCCGTCGTCCCTCTGTCTGTCCTACTCTCTGCCTCGGTCCACAATCTTTTTCATCCTCTGGCGTTCGCTTCTCTGACAGTGTTTAATTATTGACATTATCACAAAGTACAGTGTTGCTGGAGTCGACTCCCCCACTCCCACCCGTCCTCTGAGTCTGAGGAGACTGTCGGCAGTGATAGAGGCAGATGGGGAGCAACTTGTTCTCCTCTCTCTCTCTGGCTGTTTGCCCTCTTCTGGGTGGTTTATTCTAAAGCCTAACCCGAGGCCACTGGCACGGGGGGGGGGCTCCTCTCACACTGTGGCACATCCAAATTGCCCCCAGGTCTGCCTGCAAACAAAGCCTGTTTGAAAATGGGAGCACAGTATGGTGGCGTTCAAAGACCTGTTCAAAGGCGGCTTCGGCCAAGGCCACGGGCCACAGGCCACGCTCGTGCGTGTGTGTGTGTGTGTGTGAGTGTGTGTGTGTGTGTGTGTGACACATTGAAGCCATAGTGTAGATTTAATCCTTCACTTCATCATCAGCTGATAATATAAATATTCATCTCTAAAGGAACAGTTTGACATTTTGGGAAATACACCCACTCACTTTGGATATTATTGAGCATGGAGCTGGAAGCAGGAAGTGTGTTAACAGTTGGTATCTGCTCAGAACTGTTTCATCTTTTTATCTTTTTACACAAAAACTGAGTGAAATAAAAAGAACAACAACAACAGAGAAAAGTGTTTATTTGCAAGTTTAGAGTTTAGATATGAATCTTCTGCATCGCCCACATGTGAAGTCTGAAATTTATCAGGGTTTTACCTCTTAACTTTCCATCGTCCAACTCCCACACACACACACACACACACACACACACACACGCCGGTTTAATTTAAACACCTTCAGCGTCTAATCCCTCTCGTTCAGTAGATGCTTAGACACACTTTGTTAGGGTTCAGGTTTGGATCCCTGGGAACATTTGAAGAGCTATGTATGTTGGAAACACATGAGGAAACACACACGCACGCACACACACACACACACCGGTTTAATTTAAACACCTTCAGCGTCTAATCCCTCTCGTTCAGTAGATGCTTAGACACCCTTTGTTAGGGTTCAGGTTTGGATCCCTGGGAACATTTGAAGAGCTCCTCCAAACCTGCAGTCTCACACACACACACACACACACACACACACAGCTCAGTCGTAGTGTCAGGGGGCATCAGTCTCTCAGACCAGAAAGCAAACGCTGCAGATTGAAGTGAAAGCTTTAATGTGTGTGACTGAGCTGATAGTGAACAGCAGCAGGACCTGGACCAGAGCAGGACCTGGACTAGAGCAGGACCTGGACTAGAGCAGGACCTGGACCAGAGCAGGACCTGGTACCAGAGCAGGACCTGGACCAGAGCAGGACCTGGACTAGAGCAGGACCTGGACTAGAGCAGGACCTGGTACCAGAGCAGGACCTGGACCAGAGCAGGACCTGGACTAGAGCAGGACCTGGTACCAGAACAGGACCTGGACTACAGCAGTCAGATGTTAAAGGGACTACAATTCTTTGTGACGTACAACAACAACAACAACAGACGGCGTCATGGCCGCCTCCGACAAAATATGGTCACCGGCAGATTGAGGCTCGTTAGCGTGGTTGTTCGTTAGCTAACCTGACGAGGAAATGTGATTTGATGGTTTAATAACTGTGTCTTCATTTAGAAAAGAAAATGAATGGAAGTAAAAAGTACGAGGCAGTTCAGGGCCGGACGAACCTCCCATGGGGCCCAAGGGCAAAAACAAGCTGTATGTCCCCCGTCATCTCCGTACACCTGTTACCTGCAGACTACACATGTGAAGATTATATTTCATCTAGAGACCTAATGAACATCCAGTGCTGCCACAGAAGGAAGGACGTGTCTCCATCAGTATTTGGTGATTAAAAAATAACTTTACGTCACTTTAAAAATGTCAAACCAAATAACTCTAGAGGAAGTAGAGGCTCGGACCCCTGAACAATGAGAAAGATAAAATTAAAAGTTTGACATGTTGATGGCGCTAGAGCAAAGTAAAGTTATCTCAGTTCAGCCTCAGGGGAGCACGAACGTCTGAGCCGCACGTGTTGTTGAGATATTTTACTGAAGACGACAAACGTCGATAAATGTCGTTATAGGAAAAACAGTTTTTAGGAGTTTAAAATCACACGATCCGAACAGAACAAAACAAAACTGAGACAGTAAAACGAGAACAGATCCGTCCATCACATTTCCAGTGACAGGTGATGCAGCTGTGTGGCCAATCAGAATGCAGGTAGGTGATGATGTTGTTCCAGAACGAGGCTGAACTGACTGATGTCCCATTTGGCAAATATGTGTCGCATCAATTCCTCCATCTCATTCTCGCATCTCTCCCTCGCGCTGGGAGGTGAAATACGAGTGAGGGAGAGGAGAGGAGGGAAAAATAAAGAGCGGGAAGGAGTCCAGGGAGGGCTGCCCTACACACACACACACACACACACACACACACACACACACACACACATTCTTGCAGTATAAACACCTGACAGAACAAAGACACATACAGATGCAGTGTAACATCCATATATTACAACATACAAATACTCTATGTTTATGCACACACACATACACACACACACACACACACACACACACACACACACATATGCACACACCTACCATGCAGCACCATCTGTATTGATCTGTGACCATAGAAACCAGCTGGCTGCAGTTGCTATGGAGTGTGACCGTGTTGTGGATATACTACTCTCTCTCTCTCTCCCTCTCTCTCTCTCCATTCTTCTTTTTTTCATACACATTAACTAAATGTTTTCTTTCTTCTTCTTCCTTCTTTTCTTTAAAAAAAAACAGAACTAGAACCCAGTTTGTTTTTGTGTTTTATCTCTATTGGTCGATCATCTACATCCGCCCTCCTCCATCTGACGACTGTGGACGTAGAGTCGAGTTGGGTGTGTGTGTGTGTGTGTGTGTGTGTGTGTGTGTGTGTGTGTGTGTGTGTGTGGGGTGGGGGTGGGGGGGGTGAATGGAAAAAAAAAATGTTCCTGTAAAGATGACAAGATCTAAGCCGGATCAGAGGAGATGGAGTTTCTGTGAAAGTGTGACAGCTGGTGTGAGAGAGTATGTGAAGGACGGCGAGGGAGGAGGAGATGATGATGGCGGTGAATAGGACAAATAGATGAGACAGGAGGAGTCTTCACTCTGGAGGTCATGTGTGTGTCTACACGGCGCTTTTGACAATCTGTCTTCAGCCTGTGAAAATATCTAGTTTCATTCTGCTGCACAGGAACTGTAGCTGTCGGAGAAAGGAGGACTGAGACATTGTTTTGATCGGCGTAAGGAGCTCGTTCATCTTGATTAAACCAGCATATGATGAAATGCGTTGCAGTAGTTGAGGCCTTTTGCTTCTGTTTTTATCTTCTGTTCATTCGTAAAGTTGTAAACACATTTTGAACTGGCAGGTCACAGGGTCAAGTGTCTTATTTCTTTCTGTGTATAAGTCAGTGTTGCCGACCTCTGGATCCTCTCAGTTTGCAGTGATGTTAATTGGAGCTCCTCTACATGAAGACAGTCTGAGCTGTTTTCAGCTGTCTCAAATTATCCGTAAATGTTTCTAAAAATCTGATATTTGCTGTTAATTTCAGGAATAAATAAACTAACGTCAGCTGTATTTTCTAGAGGGTACAGAGGAGAACAGCACGTCATTGATTTTCAGGGTCATACTCAAGAATTTAAAGCTGCACTAATAAATATTTTCATATTTGAATACATCAAATGAGCGATGAGAAAAATGGAAATCAACATGCATCTTGCTGCACTCCGTCTGGACATCACCTCACCTTTCTGCACTCCTTCCTGGCTCAACAAGTATCGCACTGATGTATAGAGAAAAATTATAATATATATATATATATAATAAATATCAAAATGGTTACTATTAACTGACAATGACAAACTCCAGAAGCTCAGTGAGTTTTCTCCAACATGTACCGAGTCGTTTTTGTGCACAAACCGAACCGTCATTTCTTCAGAAGCATATTGTTTGCTCAGTTGTCATGGAGACACATACCTTTACATGTTATGAGATCCTCCGTAGCGCCTGTCAGTGTTTCACAATGTAAATGAACGATTCTCCTGAAGAATAATTCTCCCTAAATAACTTGTGATAAGATCCTGGATCCTGAGGGTGCAGCAGAGACAGTGCAGCACCATATTAAAGCGGTATTTGTCAGGGGTCAAAGGTCAGGGGTTTAGGTTTGGGTTGGGGTTAATTTACAGTCGCGTTGTGAATGTTGATCTCGTTCTCTGTGATTTGACAGATTCGAGAGCAGACCGCGCCGACAGACGGAAACTCTTCAGACACTACACTGTGGGCTCGTACGACAGCTTCGACGCCTCCAGGTAAAACCTCACACACACACACACACGCTCATCTTCACATCATGTAACATCCTCTGTACTGTGCATATAAACGTGTATAATACCGTGTATGAATGATTGAAGATTTTTCGGTACCACTTCACAATCAGACTTCCCTTATAAAGGATTTATAAATGGTTTATAATCAGGTTATTAATTAATAACAGTTTGATGCAGGCTCACTATTTGGCAAGATCAAGTTAATGCGTCCTACTCATTAATCTGACTGATGAGTTACTACCATTTATAACTGGTAAAATAAGCCTTATAGTAAAGTGTGAAACAAGTTTCTCGTTATAAATAATAATAACTCATTAATATAATATGTCACATCAACACCTGTGATCGTGACGAGGACGGCTGCTGAGAGCATGTCAAGGTAAACGATACAGCCGAGGACGAAGAGCATGAATCGTCATGTGATATGATCATGTGATCTGCCATAATTTGATCTGTCAAATGAAACTGTTTGACCATTAAGATGCTGACGGTGGTTGATTACGAGTAACTGAGCAAACGTGATGAAGCAGCAGCTACAGACGCTGATGATGGAAGAAACAAAGAGATATGAGGCTGAACAGTTCAGATACATGTGGGCTCACTATTTGGCAAGCAGCAGATCACTGTTGACCTTCTTATCTAATGTGTTATACCAGCTTGTAAACTGTTTTTTAAAATCCTTTGTAAGTGGAGTCTGTTTCTGTCTGTTTCGGGAGGCTGGTTTTAGTCTAAACATTTACACACAAACACAAATCTACACGCTAATCTCCTGTTTCTTTACATTAAGCTGCTGAGTTCACAATCAGAAACCGTTCCTCTGTTGTTCTGGGAAAGAAAAAAGAAAAGCTCTAATAGGAAAAGAGGATTTAAGGTTCAACCCTTCAGCTGAGTGAAAAGTTCTGTCTAATGCTACTTGACGTTGAATCCCAAGGTCTCCATCGTCTTCTGCTCTCAAGTTATTCTGCTCCTCCCCTCTCCTCTATTCTCCGCTGTCACATCCACTTCAATACAGGCTGCGCTGCAAACAAAGATAGATGTGTACTCCAGTGTGTGTGTGTGTGTGTGTGTGTGTGTGTGTGTGTGTGTGTGTGTGTGTGTGTGTGTGGAGTGTATTCTCCATCGTGAACAAATCCTCTTTAGCAGAATCAATCACGCAGGTGAGCTGAATGTCGTTGCGGGAGCTTGAATATGAATGAGCTCGGGCTTGTGTTTGATCACACCGGGTCACCTGTCTGACATCATCAGGCAGGCAGCGGCTTTTCCCAGGCAGAGCAGTGTGCAGTGATTTTAACCCATGCATATATATACATACAGAAAATGGCCGACAGTCTGTCCTCGGTCTGACGTGGAGGGAGAGATGTTGCAGAGGATGAGACGTTCTTCGACTTGCACAAACGTTTGCCTCAGAAAGAGATGAATATTCTGTCCTTGTGTGGGGACATTATGCTTTATTTATTTCTGTGCTTATTTATTTGTATCCCCATTAGCTTCCACACGGCAGTCTCTACAGTTATTAAAATCACACTGCATCAATAAAACTGAAAAAACAAAATAATTAAAATAACTCGGCATGTGAAGCAATAAACAATAATAACGCACGATGAAAACTAAATCAAATGCACATTAACAAGAAGAAAAGATAATTAAAGGTACAGAGACCACAGTAACATCTAGAGGACATTCATCCAATTTTGTTTTAGTCACTTAAAATAAAATCTACTGATGTAAATAAGGAGCAGATTCCAACCAGAAGAAGCTTCATAAAGAACATTTCGCATGAATAACAGAGGTTTTTAATTTGCTGCCACTGACAGGAACACAACCCATGTTTGTTCAGCCTTAAAATTCAGTTGTCATACAAACATGTTACCTATAGTTTTAGAAAAAATTTTGCAAATGTTTCTTATCAATATTGATTAATCTGCAGCAAACCAGATTGCTTCTGTTTGGATATTACCAAATATTGGTGATAAAAAAAACAAACAGTTCCTGTATTCACGTCTTGTTGTAAAAGTTGTAAAAGTTTGAGTATAATTTTGAAGCACTTGTGCTTTACTCAAGTATTTCTATTTTGTGCTTCATCTCAGAGGTTAATATTTAGTTTTATGGACAAAATATATGATAATCTTGAAGAGTATAATGTATTGTTATAGATTAAATTACCTAAAGCAGTCAAAATAGTTAAAAACTAATGTGTTAATGCATTAATACAAAATAATCCTTTAAAGCTCCTCCAGTGTAAAGGTCTGTGTCCATGTGTAGTGTGATTATAGATCAGGTCTAGCTTCTATATTAATACTGTGAAAGTATCAAAGCCTCAGTCCACAGAGAAATGCACACAGCCTGTATTCAGAAACTGAGCCTTAAAACCAGCCGTCAGGACTTCTGGAACTTTGTGATGTCACAACAAAGCAGTCACCAAGCCCCGCCCACCTGGACCCACCATCCAAACCTTTACAGGATTTGGTTTCTCTGAGTGTTTTTACCTGAAATCTGCTATATTTTTATTGGATCACTCAGAAAACAGTCAGCCAATCAGAGGAGAGGCTCAGAGCCTCCTCTCTTCTGATTGGCTCACTGACCTGTTGTTACTAGAGCTGCAGAGAGAAGCCTGAGAGAGGAGATGTAAAACTACACTGAGATGGTTTTTGGTTCTTAAAACCACAAATATATCTTCTTATAGATCAGCACTTCAAAATAAAACAGGAAGTGTAGGATATGGACCTTTAATATAATTATATTATAATTATATTATATTGAGCATAAATATAAGTTTACCTCTGATACTTTAATAGTAAAGTAAAATTCCTTAAGCGGGACTTGTAACAAGGTGTTTTCACTTTGTGGTCGTGCTGTTTTCATTGAGCTAAATGAGCTGAACTTCAGAGTTTGTGTCACCTCCTGTTCAAGGAAATAAATGAACCAGTTTTGCATCCAAAGAGCCGCATTATAAGGTATTTGTCCGTGTCATCATCAGTGCTTTTTATGATTCTAACCTCACATGTTGACGGCCTTTAATCAGCTAATGGAAGCCTCTAACAGGCCTCCACCAGTCGTAACGCATCTGAAGTCCGACCAAGCCTGAAACAACCTGCTGATTAAATTGAGGAATGTAATTCTGGCAGCTCCTGTAAGAGATTAAAAACAGCAAACACACTCAGAAGTCTAATTCAACCCAAGCAGGATGGGAGAGAGATGATCAGCAACTAAACAACATAACAAAAGAGCAGACCGTTGTAATGATATATGAAACGTAGAGATGAGTATAGTGGTGAGGCAGTGAAGGACAGTCTGACATTTCCCTCATTACGCTGCTGGGTTTCCTCTGGCAGGCACAGTGAACATGCTGGGCGGCGGTTTTTCCAGTAAGTGTCCAATATGGGTCAAGGTGAACCCTCTCTCACCCGGCGCTGGTCGACTCATGACTAAAGACCCATGTGACATTAAAGGTCCAGGGGAAATCTCAGCTGGAAGTGAAACGTTAAC